TCGCGTTTCTTTACGAAATCAAGTAATAAGAGAAAAGAAACCGCGGATTTATCAACTTCCGAGCACGCTATTTAAAAAACGAGTCAGTGGACGTTTCAATCCTACTCAAGTGTCATGTTATTAGTCTTTTTAAATCGTTTCTAAAGCGTCTGGCCAAAATTGGAATAACTCGACACAATATATCATCAGAGCCATGTAAATCGTATATGATCTAAATACCTTTACAACAAAGAGTTTTTCTTTCAAGTCATATATCACAGTGTCTTGTACCCTATAAGTACGCTTGGCCCCCAATATGTATGTATATCTGCTATGTAACTAGATATTACATATATATCGATTGGAGTCTGCCCAACAGGTTTCTAGTACCAATACGTTTTTCCCTCAGTTTTTCTGTAATTATATAAGAAGCATATGCGGTTGGATTGCGGCTGTAGCAAAAGATGGAATGTCAACTTCAATAACCGTTTGCGGTGAAACGCAATAGTCCATGGATAATTTACTTGTACATTTTTAGTATAACTTGCTTTGACCATTAACGTGATATTGAAGGAGCATGACTATTTGTTTTTAAAATACCTGTCATATCTCAGTAATTGTAAAGTTATCAAGTCCATTTTCTCAAATTAATATTTTTACGGTGTTATTTTCGTTCATTCGTCGCGAATGCACCTACTCGAATAAACAGAACTGTATTCCTAGAACTACATACTTTTTAAATATTGTTCCAAAACTTTAAACAAAAGTAGGACGTTTGGTGAGGTGGGGTGATCTCTACCGGGGAAGCAGACAATGAAGTGACATTTCCTTTTTTCTAAAGTGTTGGAAAAACAGTACACTGATGACAAAGTCATTAGCTAAACACAAAAAATACGCAAAGCTCAAAAGCAAGATTGGCTGCTAAAGAGTTTTAAAACATTTGTGTCTACAGCCTAAAATAGACACCAACAGAAATTTGCATGTTGAATCAATTTGATCCAAAGCTTTGATCATCATGTAAAATGTTTTTGACTACGCTTAAACATACAAAAAGAAACTTGGGATGATGTTTTTCAGAATCCCATTCAAAACACCAACATACCGTTAGGCAGCAGCGGTGGCGGCAGTAATAGACTCTTCGGTCTCCTGATCAGTCGCCGTGCGCTGTGCGGGTTCGAGTCCCGTCCCAGGAGAATTTTTTCTCTTGGCTATGGATGTTGTGATTGTCCGTAGGTGGTGGATGGTCTCTGACTGTCGAACGCGGAGGTACCACCCGGCGGTTCTCGTAGGCGGAGCCAGAATGTGTGCATGTTGCATGCACACGTGTTCCCTCGCCAGAGTCCGTGTGGCGTCCCCCCTTTCCCATGTATCCCCCATAGCCTCACGGTACCCAATGGGTGCTTAGGCCTTCGTGGCAGTTGGAATATAAAAAAAAACGAAAGGCATGGATTTCCAGGAAGATTTTTTTTAATTCGATTTTTGAACTGCCCAAGGTTAGAGGATCTGGGAAAAGCTTCATCTTGTCCACAATCTCGACACCTTAGGGACAAAGGAGCGGTCGTATCGGCCAGTTCTGGATGTACGAAGTCCGACACGTTTAGGATGGGAGGCCAAAGTCAGGCGGGTCTGTCTGGCAGGCTCATCGCGCGGCGGCATCTTGGAAAAGAGCTCTGAGAAACAAAGCCCGTTTTTGTAGCGGTAGATGAGAGCTAGATCGCCAACGGCCCGCCGGTGCAAAAGGGTCCCGAGACTGTTTGTGAGAGAAGAGTCATCGATCAGTCGGCCGGCCCTCCTCTGGTCAGCATCGAGCATAAATCATGTAGTCGGGGCAGCAGCGCCCCAAACGTGTGAGCAGTACTCGAGGCTAGGCCTTATCTGGGCCTTGTATAGAGTGAGAAGGTCATGCGCTTTTTCCCAGCAGCTGCCGCTATTGACGAGATGTGATCGTGCCAGATCAGGTCCTCGGTGATCTGGACTCCGACCAGCCGAAATAAATGGCTCTTTGGCAGAACTCGGCCATCCATGGAAAGCGGATGAGTGCTAGAACGGTTTTTGTTCGTCAAGGTACAGTACTGTGTTTGACCGCCCAGGTGCTCCTTCAATTTCGAAAATGATACGTCATGGCTGTACGGAGGATGGGCAAATGACTTCCCAGACAAATCGCTCGATGAAGTCCTTCGTTTGTTGTGAGACATGAGGATGCGCATTGTTGTGGTGCAGGCCTACTCTTTGGTGAGATTTCCACTACGACGATTTTGGATTGCCCGTCTCAGCTTTTTCAGAGGCCTCCGGAATTTCAACTGCCTGTTCCTGGATCGTGATTCGCCGATCTTCGAGCAAGATTTGCTCAATCTTCGCCACAACTTCTCCAGAGATCGACGGTCTCCTGCTTCGTTGTACATCGTGAACGTCCGTGCGACCGTCAGAGGGCATGATGACATTTTGAATGCTTATATACGTTTCCCCATATACTTTACTCAAGTGGCGATGAGTTTCTATAGGTTTTTGCGTGCAAAAATAGGATCACCGCACGAACGTCGTATCTGGAGGTGACGGCGTTGAAGGCCTCCATTGCGTATGGCTGTCATGCCGGTACTGAGCATCTCAAATGGGCGATTCTTGTTGGGATCGGTGGTGGGGGAGCCGATAAACAAGACACTGTTGCCAGATTTCGCCTAGCATCACGCGCGGAAAGGATCCAGCGTTAGGAACCTTATTCGTATCGTTATTTCACTCTATCATGCAGGGGAAGCGTCCCTCTCCGACGCACCGATGCCGACATTGCGTCGGACTCATCTAACAGTGTTGCCGGATGTTAAGAAAATTATCAGATATGCTATATATCGAAGTCTAATCAAACTAAGTGGGGTATACAAACATCGGTGGAGAATGTTAGCTATTATTGCCAATGCACATTATAAGCGCGTTGCGCCGAAGAATATATAAAAGTGTTCGGCCAATAATGCCATACCTACCTCTCCACCAAGGCATGAAATATACTGTTCTTCAATCTGTTTCTTCTTTTTCAGAGATCTTCGTCGCCGTCATTTTAGGGCGCAGTCAAACCTAATTTTTATGTAATGCGTGGGAGGTTTCGAATTAATCTGCTTAATTTGTATAAAAAATCTATCTTTATAAAAAGATGAGCATCCCATTACACTGGGTTATAGGCGCTAAAGGTTGTTGGATTGAAATAACACTACCGTTATGTTTTACATCCAAACAAAATAAAAAATCCTACATTTGTGAGTTTTATTTTCCAATTTACGTAAAAGCTGCAACGGTGGCGGAACGCAATATTGAGTATTTGCGTTGTCTACAAAGAGGAAAAACGCAGCTGCCTGTGAATGTTATATCGCCGATTGATTACATATTTCACTCCCATAATTACGATTTGTAACTGTTCAAATCATATGCAGCATGTATAGTATTTCAGTACGCTTGACTTGTTTTGTTAATACCCTGCTGCAGAAAAAACGGGGTCAAGTAGGTTAACCATCAGTTCATAAAATATTATGTTCGGCCCAGGTTAGCCCCTTCCAGAAAAAAGTTACCTGCATTGTCGTAGAGCCTACCGCCGACTGTGCAATGGGTAACAAACTCCAAATGATAATCTGCGGTGGTGTCGTCACTAACACACCGCTACAGGAGAATATTTATGTGTTTTGGCAATATTCAGATATTAGGAGCACATACCACTCTAGCGTTCTTCGATGCTTTTGTGAATGATGGCAATTGTTTTTATATCTTCACACATATTTTCCTGGATTTTATGATCCTCTAATACTAGAAAGACTGAAACTTAGTATATATACCTACATTGTCAAAATGACTGCATTGTGAAAAAAATACTAATGCTTAAAGAAATTGTTTAAAATGAATTTTTAATATTTTTTAAATTATTTAAAAAAATTACTTCACTTGTAAAAAAATTATTTATGCTCACGATTCTTCCACTCTCTCAAAGCGTATCTATTACAGTATGTTATCCTGCAGCCAGTGATCCTCCTTCCCCCTGAACTACGTTACAGCGCGTTCAAGGGGAACGAGGCGCGTGGCCAGGCTTGGTATAAAGATTCGAATAACAAGTACTACTTTAGTTATTGAACCACTACATTCTATCAAGTATATGTCCAAATCGACAATTTATCATTAAATTGTATGTTATCATGTGACGGTAGTCAAGAAAATATAAACTGTTAGTCGCACGGCTATAATGTAATAAAAAAACGTCAAAAAACCGTCGAAATATCATCTTCCAGACTAGGAAGTTTTTAGTGTGCAAAATAGTTAATTACACGTTTGCTTGCTATGATCGCTATTCGCTGACGTTTAAGCAATGCATACAGCTACGACACAAGTTCACAAGTGTACAAAAAAAAAACCGACGAAATGTTACTTTTTAAGATCCGCAATACCCATGCCGAACTGGTCATATAAGAAATTTACTCAAATCATTAATCAAAGTCATTTGGGCAATACAGGTATAACACAAATCTGTTTTATTGTACCAGTACTGACATAAAATGCAACACTCAGAATTATTTATTGAATTTTGATAGAAACTTGTAAACATATTTGCTATCATGGAAGTATACCCTGGTAAAATGTTAAAGGCACTCCGAGCCGTACTTTTTTTGTGAAGGCTTTTTTTCATATCATGATCTGAACAATATGAACATGTTTACTTCATATTCAGTGATTTTTCTGTGTTGGTTTCATTTGTTTCGTCGTTGTTTCATTGCATCATTATGCCTAGGGTCAGCAGACGTGCGAATCTCACTCAACTTTCTGAGTTTTAGAGCGGTCGGATAATCGGCATGGGTATCATGTAAAAAACCTATAAAACGTAAAAAAACCTACAAGATGTCAACTTACAGGCCAGGTAGTTTTCAGGGCGCAAACAGTCATTCCACGTTCGCTCACTGGGATCGTTGTGAACGTCCATCTATGGAGGGATCACTCAACTAAACTACGCATTATTGGTTGCATAGCTTGGTGAGGCTGAGTGATCCGGGTCTGTAGTTTTTATCTAGAAGAAAGTTGGTTGAAAAATAAGATCGCATCTGGATGATTATGTGTATTGGTCTGTATGTGTATAAAATCAGTGATATTTGCCGTGTGAGAAAATCATTACTGAATATTCCGAATATGACGGGTTATTTATATGTTGTGCTTTCTGAAGAGAGGTTATGTTCATAGTTATAAATTACGAAAAACTGAGGAGAATTACGGGAAATCATCACCGAGCCCGCGTTGTGTGTAATTACTGTTAGCATGTATATGGCTTGCAATTCGACAGTGTACAGTGAATATATACTAAGTGACATATAAATCCGAACACCCAGTTTAAATGGTTTTATTTTGATAAAAGGTGGTGAATGTATTTATCTTACTGTAAATAACAAGTGAAAAAATTTTCAGCCTTATCAGTTGGACATTCCGGTTTTTATACTGCTTTTTTTTAATTCACTAACGCTCTAAAAATGAATATTTCAGCCGCAGTAAAGAATCAACGTTGGCGGATTTTGGTTCTTGACATCCTTTACGATCGGTTACGATGCCTAGAGTACGGAGACCTGTACGATTTCGTCAACTTAGTGAGTTTGATAGGGGCCGTATAGTGGGACTTCGGGAAGCTGGACTTTCTTTTCGGGCAATTGCAGTTAGAGTGCAAAGAAGTGTAGACACTGTGGTTAGGTGTTGTCAGGCATGGCTTCGAAAAGGCCATACGCAAAGAGCAAGGGGCACTGGACGCCGCCGTAGAACAACAGACCGTGAAGTCGCCGCCTAAGATTATTGGCCTTAAGGGACCGTTTCTCCACTACCAGGTCCATTGCAAATGAATGGTTTGCAGAACACCGAAGACCTAGTGGCATGCGAAATGTTTACCGACGAATGAGAAGTTTTGGCTTGTTTTCATACCGGCCACACTGGGTCCTCCCTTTAACTCGAGAACACCGACGTAATCGCCTTGAGTGGTGCAGACAACGGTCACTCTGGGATCAGGAATGGAACACTATTGTCTTTAGTGACGAGTCTCGATTTTGTTTAGGCATGCACGATGGTCGTGCCAGGGTTAGAAGGCGACGTGGTGAAAGGAGGAATCCACAGTTTTTTGTTGAAAGACATGTTCATCACACTGTTGAGTTATGGTTTGGGGTGGGGTGCTATAGCTTATGGTTCCAGGTCACCTTTAATCTTCATCAGAGGTAACATGAACGCGCAGCGTTATATCCACGAAGTTCTAGAACCCCATCTTTTACCCTATCTTGACACCCTGGCAGATCCAACTTTCCAACAAGATAATGCCCGACCACATGTTGCAAGAGTCACAATAGACTTCTTTCAACATAATGATGTCACATTGTTACCATGACCACCAAGATCTCCCGACTTATCCCCAATTGAGCACGTGTGGGATATGATGGGTAGGAGATTGCTCAATTTGCAACGTCCTCCTCAGACTCTAGAAGCACTTCGAGAGGAGTTGGTGGTTGCCTGGAATGAGATACCACAGGAGGACATTGACCACCTGATCAGAAGCATGCCTAGGCGCGTTGGAGAATGCGTAGCACATCAGGGTGCATCCACACATTATTAAAGGTCATCGCACTGTGGGTGTGGGAAACATTGCAAGATCCAGTTTTTCAGCAGGACAATGCACGACCTCATGTTGCACGTCTTTGTTTAGACTTTTAGGAGTAAATCTGCTTCAGTGGCCTCCTCGATCTCCAGTCCTTTCCACATCGAACATGTATGGGACATGATGGGTACAAGGTTGCAAAATTCACCACACCATCCACAAACATTGGCGGCTCTACGAAACCAAATACAGATGATCTGAAATACAATATACCAAGAAGATATCAATGCCGCGACGAGTAAACGAATCGGTAGCGAACAGAAGAGCTTCAACACATCATTAACATTAAGATGGGATATATCTCAGCTATATTGCGAAATTTCGAGTTGAAATTTTAATCACGTTCTATTTATCAGTAGACCTAAAGCTTGAGAAAGTATCCTCAAAATTATAGCACTCCTAGAGGGTGTTGCATTTTTTATGTCATTTAGTGTAGTTTGATATGCAAAGGTCGAAGATTCATCGTATCTAAGTGAACCTAGCTAATCACGATTCGATTTCGCCTTTTGACACGACGTGGCTTTTCTTTGAAACCTCCAAAAAAAATGCGTAGGAAGTATAGAGTCAGTCTACTTGACGTAGTTTTTACGTTGTTAATAGCGAACTAAGGCCCGTATCGTCAGTCGTTTCTACAATTATTGTAGGACGCCTTTATGGCCTCCTTGATTTTCATAGTTTTCTATTGTTCCGTGTCAGCGCTCAAAAAGAAAACATACCCTCACAATAGGAAAGCGCTGACGCTGACACGGAACAGTAGAAATCTAGAACTACCCCAGCCCCAGCCTTTGTGAAGGAGAGAAAAGTCTATGAGAATCAAGGAGGCCATAAAGGCGTCCTACAATTTATTGTAGGAACGACTGACGATACGGACCTAAATGGTGTTTGGAAAGTTTCAGTAATAGTCTCGTGGTCATTGCGAATGAGGGTTCCGACCCTCAAATTGATGGGCGCCTAGGGGGCTATCTTGATTGACCCAACGGTTACCATATTATTGTGATTTTTTTAAGATATCGTAAAATGTTTTTTACTGCTGAGCCGATTTACTAGGCACATACCACAAAACTCTGAAATTCATTTATGTCCTTGGACCGGAACTGTACTGATATTTTAATTTCAGACACCTGACAGAGAAAGAAAGAATGAAAAAACTAAGGCCCTCCTGTTGCATCTGACATGCCTGAAGTCCACGCTGTGTCATACGAAGCTTGGTTTAGGAAAATTTTAAGCTGCCCTTTTGGGGTACCGATATCATTTGAAATTCCGCGGTGTTCTGTGTACATATGCGACGTTGCCCAACTGTGACTGTAAAAAAGTGGTAGTGCATGAGAAACATGACTGTGTCACGGTGGATGTGAAAAAAGTGCAGTGGGATGAACCTAGTTGGGAAGGTGGGAAGGAAGCTGCCAATATAAGGTGAGAAAGAATGCTGTACAATATGATGGAGGAACAGCGGCATGTTTGTAAAAAATCGATATGCCCAGATTATAATTGAGCAGTTGTTTTAAAAACAATTAGACTGCCTTTATCTACATTATTGCTACCTGAATGTAGCCAACGTAATGCTATATTCTCGTGTCCAAGAAATTATCCGAGATAAAATGAGATACCGTAGCGCATATATGATGAGAGAGCGCCATCTATGAGATATTAACCGTTTCAAAGTATATATAGTAAATAGAGAAACAGATGTGACAAATTCTCATAGAGCTCGCTGGGGTATCTTATTTTATCTCAGATAATTCCTTGGTCGCTGAAATACATCATTACGTTGGCTATCTTCAGAAAGACTGTGTTAATCAATGTTTACATGTATACATATCAGAATTCTGTAAATATTTGTTGAGTTTTGAGTTAGTGAGTAATGAGTACATGTAGTTGTGCGAATACATAGATAGCTACTCTTTACTTGACGAATAGTCAATGTGTGTGTAGCCAGCATCTCAAAAATGGTATGGAAATGTAAAGGTAGACAGGATGTGTTGACAAAATCTACATATTACAAAAATAAAAAAACGCGAAATCTCAGTACCACAGAAAACGTGGCGAATGTGTGAATGCCTAAGCTGTGGACACAAGATTTCCTAAAGCGATTTTTTAACTTCAGTCCAAAATTTGCCAATATGAACATGATATATTGAGATGAGTTGTGGTATATGGACGTCAAATTCTATGATGCCAACCTTGTTTACCTTTCCATTATATTGACCAACTTTTCAATTCAGGTGTAAAACTTTGATAGATCTACAGTATTCAACAGTAGGGTTTCTGTATATGAGATTCGCCTCAAAATCAAAACCAGAATATACAGTGTGTTACTTAAGTATGTACCATAAATTTAGCTGACGATTTTTTGAGTAATTTTAAGACAAAAAATCCATACAAACATATGGCCGCATATTCTTTGTTCTCAAGATACAGGGTGATGAAATTAAAAAAAATGTGTTTTCCTAAATTTATTAAATATCCTATACCTAATTTTGTTGTAATTTGGCGGTGGTATAAGCAACTAATTTTGCCCTAACTTGATTATATTTATTAAGTCCAGTGGCGTATGGAGTGGGATCTGAATGAATATTTGTGATAAAAAAATGTACGCCAGTGACTTTTGTGCAATTTTTATTAAGTTGTTTGGACTAAGCAAATAGAAATACAACTTTTTTGTATCTTTTTGAGAAAAACAGTCAATTTAATTGCATATCCCTGTGCCGCACAAGGAATAAGGGGAAAAGTTTCTTTTGGTAAATTATTATTTTTTATTACTAATTATATAACAACAATACTAAATAACATTAACACCTAGACTAACAAATTTCACTAAAGTAAGTGTTGGAAATGGCCCCCTTTTCTGCTTCAATACATCCGTCTAGTGCAGGGGTCGGCAACCTTTTGAGACGGAAGAGCCAAAAGTTACAATTTACAAAAACCAGCAATTGTATTTGAAAGGAACCAGCATTATTTCCAAATGGGTCAATATTGATCTCATTTATATTTCTGTTGATAGGATTTACTATGAACTGGAGAGCCGCAACTAGACATCAAAAGAGCCGCATGCGGCTCGCGGGCTGCAGGTTGCCGACCCCTGCTCTAGCCGACTCATCATTGAATTAGGCTCTCTCCTGAAAATACCTGGCCTGGTTTATTATGTCACATGAATAAATGATTCGATTCCGTAAATCCTCTTCACTTTCAATAGGAGTTTTGTATACCAACACTTTAAGAGAGTCCCCAAAGAAAATACTCAATGAATCGTCCGTTAAGTTTATGGTACATACTTAATTAACACCCTGTATTTATCTCCCCTCTTGCGATATGAACAATAATAAGAAACACAACTCCTGGAAGATTGTTAGAAACCAATCTTAATTTAAGTAATTATTAACATTTCATTTTTCCTTTCCAGTCACGTTACAACTACACATTTAGTTTTCCCCAAGCCTGTCGAATTTCTTTCCACACCGGCAACGTCGCAACTTAGGCATGGATCGCCGACGTAGGGGTCGTCAGCGCCATCTCTTGACCAGATGACTGATTGGGAGTCAGCGTGGCGGCGCGCTCTAGCCAAGCCGCCGCCGCATAGAAGCCTGCACGATTTGCAACTGATCTACTACGGCCTCAGCGGCTTGGAGGCGCTGCAAACGCTACGGGATCACCAGCTGAGGCGGTTGTGCAAGTACGCGCGCTACGAACGCAGGCAGGCCAACGACGTGCTTTACTAGTAAGTTCTTTATTTTACCACTAGATGGGGGGCGTGGTGGTATTAAAGAGCTCGATGTTCGGCCAGAAGGACCATAGGCGGTAGGTTTATGGACGTTTATTGCCGGATGCTCATGATTCCTAAAGCAAAATTTGCATTTTTGTGGCAATACGAGGATAGATAATTGGAGTTTGCAATTGACGATAACAAGGGATGAGATTATAGTTTAGGAGGCGTAATTCAAGAATCGTTGTATGGTCTGTTTAAGTTTTCCAGAATCAACTAAAGCCGTTTGGGAACAGTTTCAGTAGCACTTGGAAAATATGATTTGTGTATGCGTAATTAGGAAATAAATTTGCAATAATACTTCAAAAGTAAATTCTTCCTATACTAGACATTCCTCAGATGCTGTCTGCATTTAAAATTTTTAGTTCTCATAAGATTATTAGCCTGTTTTAGGTTAACCTTTTTAATGCATACATTGATTTGTGATTGTATTTAAAATAATGTTTCGTCTTTTTTCAGTACGGGTGAACTGTCAACATGCTGGTACATTCTTCTATCCGGTTCCGTGTTCATAGACGGATCCATGTTTCTGCCCAGATCAAGGTGAGCTTAACTACTGTTACCATAAACCAGATATTTCGAAAAATTTCGAGCATTCTCAAATTTGATATGGAAAAAATCGAGTCTGGCGTTTTTAAGCCGAGTAGTTAAGTAGGGACATTGACCAGCATATTTTCAAAACCTTAACCAATAAATAACGTTAATAAGCCGTTGGGAAGCAGTTCGCGCAAAAGCGTAACATATCATTTATTCCTTGGACAGAAGAAAGAACATTCTCGAATCAGTTGCTCTCGAATTGAATTTTCCTTAGGCTCCATTCAGTTTTTAGTGGGTTGGATAACGCATAAGATTAAAATTATGCAAATGATAAGTGTAAACATTAAAATCACAATCATTTACATTCTCTTCTCTACTAACGAAGCTAATTTTGCAAATGCCATTCAACGAGTTAGCACGTGATCTTCGTACTGTATCTTTATGCAAATATAATGCATTCACCACTTCATCAGTAAGGTGTCAGGTGTGTTATAGCTTGACCATCTGTGTTTGAGATGATGGTGTCCTTGATCTTTGAAAAGGAAATGTCGGGAATATTAATGGTACTGTTATATTTCTGTCTGTACCAGTGCGGATTTAGGAATCTGTTTAGGGGACGCGTAGCATTTAGGTTCTTGAAGATGTTCGCCTCCAGGGCGGGGGAGGGGATATCTGCGATTAAAAATGAATGAATCTTACAGCAAATGCCCTTGTGACAATTGAAGAATTCGTGGAATACGTCTAGAGGGGGAGCGAGGGGAGCGCACCTCTCACGATTCAGATCTAGCAAGGTGATTTTTACACCGACACAGTAATATAATATACGTACCATTTTCTTGGAAAAAAATTACAGACATGGGCGTCTAGGGGGGTTCGTCCCCCTCTAAATACGCCCTTGTATCTGTATGAAATGGTATTGGTGTTCTCATTGCCCATATAAGTGAATCACTAATAGTGTTTGTTTCTCACTCAGGAGCGAGGGAAGAATTGAAGACACAATTGGATAAAGTGTCAAAATCATTGTGTAGAGAAAATTGACATAAAATATTTTTTATTGGAACTTCTTGTTTTATTGAAATTTTTAATATTTAGTTTAATTAGTTTGCTATTATCTTGTTTTTGCAACTAAGTAATCGCAGAATGAAAGAATCACCTCTTAAGGTTAATTTAATGCAAAAAAAACAATTAAAAAATATTTCACATGACACTTCAATTGTTTCATCACCTCTATATTACGAATATCCATATAACTTATTTTCTTTGGACGGTCTCGGTTCGTCTGTCTGCTGGCGTTTTTGTATCACCGCAATCTCGGAAAGGGCATGGAAGCGATATGCTGTGGTCATACAGCATGATATCACAACGATTACACAGCTGGAGCACTATAAGAAATATAAAAAGAAATAGTGCCTAACGGCTGTTATCGTTCGGAACAATATTTCTGCTATCACAACAGCGAATACTGGGCGACCCACTTGCGCATCCAGAAAAAAGTACTGTGGGAGATTTCTCAGGATTCATGTTCAGGAAGATTTTCGGCATTTAAAAACTGAAGAGCAAGGGGGAGAGGGATCAAAAACAATTAGTGATCAGTCATCTCGATTCGTCCGGGGATTGTTGCGTATTTTGTATGAGCATTTTCCATTTAAACATATTTTACATACGTCAGTAGGAATTTGAAAAAATATTATTCATAAAATATTTATAATACTTAATCAGATTGAAAAAATTGTTATACTAAATTATACATAAAAATGCCGAACACTCCATTCTTACAATTTTTCTAATCACTCTAGGTAACAATTTCAGTGGCCAAACTATTATTGTAATCAATCACCAGAATATAAAAAATGTTTCCAGTATAACGCAAAGACAATTAGTATATTAAATAAACGTTAGGGTTTATAGATAGTTTTGAAAACTCCTGGATTATATTTTTTTTCATAACAAATTTTACTTAGCTATTGGATATAATGTGAAACATTAGCTAAATAGATACTTAAGTTGTTTATTTAATTCCATTCTTGCAATGGTACTATTGTTTCACATTCTGTTTGCTATTTTCAATTGTATAGCATTTTTATTTAGGTTCATCAACTTTCTGGGATATCATGGAACTGGTTTTATGACGCGAATAAGAAGTAATGGTAGAATTAACATATTCAGTAGACATTAGAATATTCAGATTTTCCACCATTGCCCTGCATCTCGTAATACTAGAGGAATCCCCTTAGTTTACGCGAGATTCATCTGTGTGAAATTTCGTTGGTTTCGTTTCGATTTTACCACTTCAGTGTGTGACAAGAAATCACTTCTGTTCCATATACAATACGAAAATCAAAAACTCTAATGGATTTTGATCCGGCGAATACATGATCTTCAACAGCAAAAAATTAATAAATGAATAAATCAATAAATAAATAAACGAGGGTTTTTACTGAATGCTCTACATATTAGTGGCAATAAAAACACCTTACATCTTATGATCTAAATTAACCGAGCGCTTATCCAAAAAATAATGTAAAAAAATCAATTTTATAATATTTGAGTGACGCATATTCTAGAATCAACCGAACTTCAGTTGGTGCTTTTACTAAATCACAGTTGCTTTAATACTGAAATGGGCTAGTTATCTACCCCATCAGGGGATTGTTATTTACAAAACCACATTTATTCATTCTTCAAGAATTATTTTATCCATTTTGTAATTAAACCCAAGCAGATCAATTTTTACAAGCATCGGACAATCGTATTTGATGGAAGAATGGAAAAGTATACCTACCTACCTTTAATATGCGACCCCATTTTGTGCATTTTTCTCTATCATATTTTTCAAACTTTATGTTTACATGTGATACCTTTTTGACGCACCTCGTATAGTTGAATGCACTTTGACTTGAAAATAAAAATAATAAGCTGAATACCCTGTATGTATTCAAAAAGGTATGTCGTCCAATTATCCACCTATCTAGCCTTACCTTTGGGACCATTCACCATTCTCTTTGCGACGTTGCCGTATGGATTTTGAAAAAGTCTGCGAATATAAATGATGATATATACATATCGTCGGTCTCGGCAAGTACCGGCGTAACTAACATTTTACAAATTCTACAGGAGAGCTAGAAAAGAAAAATCAGCAATGAATAAGATTGAAAATAATATACTACTGATTTTTTAGTCTGCACGTTGCTGTTTTTTACACTAAAATTATGTAGAACTTTGTTTTGGGATGGTTTACCTTTGTAAAAGTAAAATGAGATTTGAAAAAAATATTTTTCGTATATTTATGCCACTTTTTTCTTTTATTGTGTAGTTACGCCAATAATTTAAAACTGAGCATGGGTATCACAGTATCGAAAATACTGTTTCAAAAAGAACAGCACAACAATATTTATAGGTTGTGTTTACAAATTATTTATTAGAGACACATGCGCCGGTAAGTGCTGTATAATTATCGGTCAAATACAGAAAACCAGTTTTAACGCAAAGGAGTAAATCTATTGAAGCCGGTACGTGAAAATTGTTTTCGGAATTTTATCACTTACGCAATTTTTTAAGAATTTTAATTCCAAGCAGGGAACTGATATACAGTTACGTCACTTCGTGAGGTGAGAGACTACAAATTAATATGTGAAATTACGACGTAAATCGATTTTACATTTTTTTTGTCATTTCTGAAAATACTTCTAATACAGATTGTTGACATTGTAGTTGTATTTGCAGACACTAAGTGTTTTATATCGAAGAACAAAACTGGTAAATGCAAATCACACGCGCATGACAAGCAAGTAAACGTATGTCTTAGAGTTCTCACAAACAAAGGTTCTCGCTCACAGATGCCCATTGCATATGTTTGTATGAGGGAGATGGACGTATGAAAGTAATTGTTGTAGTTTAACATTGACTTGCCAAAAATCTTGTACAGAGGTATGTAGGTATGAACTGTACTATTTTTCACTACTAACAGTTATTGATCGCAACCCTCCAGTAAGAAGTAGGTGAATAATGATAATAAAGAAGCACTAAGGTAAATAAGGATCTTATCTTGTTTCTAAATCTCTCTGACAATTTCATTTTGTCGGTTTAACAATTGAACCTTACATTTCCAAATATTTGAAAACGCTTGAGTAATCAGGAATGCTGAGTATAGCTCCTCATGGAGCTATTTTTCTTTAATACCTCAGTAATGGACATAATATTGGAAAATGTCTTTTTGATGTTTACATTGCTCCCTTTTCAAATGAACCAGTCCGCTCGTTTGTCTCTAAGGCGTCGAGATATATATAATTTCAAAACAAAAAATCGGTCAACTTGTGCACTAGGTAGCCGATAGTGTGCCGCTAGTTCATTCAGCGCCTACTAAAAGTGAGTATGAAGTGGATGTCAAAGGTGACATTTTATAGGAAAACCTACATAATGTCAAAAAAAGACAAATGCCATTTTTTAAGTTGCTATAAAAAACGTTAAAGCAGAATACTTTATATTTGTAGTGCTAGAAGTGAAAAATTACATAAATATACATCATTTGAGGCCATTATTGGTTTCACTTCTCAAACTAGGTATGGAATGTACTTATTTACATTTCGTCTTTCTCAAAATTACTGGAAAAACGGGAACATCGGCAATGGCGCGCTCCTCCAATGGACGGCCGACCATCAGACAGAAAGCAGTGGCGCTGATCTTTGTGGAGATATTCGTAGCCGGGCAAGTTGCAGCATTCTCCGATATCAGCGCTGCGGTCGGTGTTTCGCGCTGCTCCGAACAACACTCGTTTCTGTCGATCGTAGTACGTCACGCGTTCCATGCCTTCGCTGGCTTTCGACGGGCTGTCTGTTTACGTTTTTTAGGAATTTCGACGGGAATAACCTAAAATCTCCCACCGGGATACATGTAAGTGCAATACCGGGAGTGTACTGGATTACTTTGTATGCTTTTGTTTGTTTTTTGTGTAGCGGTCGTGCCAAAACAAACGAAATATGTCGACAGCGACGGGACTTTCGTCGTGGTTGTCTTGAATGAACCTTGATTTCATAAAGCATTTCAGGTTTCAAAGG